TACACTGTTCATGTGGTTATGGTGAAGGTGTAGGTCACTGTACATTGTGGTTATGGTGAGGTGTATGTCACACTGTTCTGTGTTTGTTGTGGGTCACACTGTACATTGTGGTTGTGGTGAAGGTGTATGTCACACTGTTCATGTGGTTATGGTGAAGGTGTATGTCACCTGTACATTGTGGTTGTGGTGAGTGTATGTCACACTGTATGTGGTTGTGGTGTAGGTAGTCACTGCACCTGGGTTGTGGTGAGTGTAGGTCACACTGTACATGTGGTTATGGTGAAGGTGTATGTCACACTGTACATGTGGTTGTGGTGAAGGTGTATGTCACACTGCACCTGAGGTTGTGGATGTGGGTGTAGGTCACACTGTACCTGTGGTTGTGGTGAAGGTGTAGGTCACACTGTACATGTGGTTATGGTGAAGGTGTAGGTCACACTGTACCTGTGGTTATGTGTGTGAGTGTAGGTCACACTGTACATGTGGTTATGGTGAAGGTGTAGGTCACACTGTACATGTGGTTATGGTGAAGGTGTAGGTCACACTGTACCTATGGTTATGGTGAAGTCACACTGCACATGTGGTTATGGTGAAGGAGTAGGTCACACTGTACCTGTGGTTATGGTGAAGGTGTAGGTCACACTGTACCTGTGGTTGTTGTGGTGTGGTCACACTGTACTTGTGGTTATGATGAAGGTGTAGGTCATTGTACTTGTGGTTGTGGTGAAGATGTAGGTCACACTGTACCTGTGGTTGTGGTGAAGGTGTAGGTCACACTGTACCTGTGGTTGTTGGGTGAAGGTGTTCAACTGTACCTGTGGTTGTGGTGAAGATGTAGGTCACACTGTACCTGTGGTTTGGTGAAGGTTTAGGTCACACTGTACCTGTGGTTATGGTGAAGTGTAGGTCACACTGACCTGTGGTTGTGGTGAAGTGTGGTCACACTGTACCTGTGGTTGTGGTGGGTGTACGTCACACTGTGGTTGTGAAGGTGTGGTCATACTGTACCTGTGGCTGTGGTGAAATGTAGGTCACACTGTACCTGTGGTTGTGATGAAGGTGTGGGTCACACTGTACCTGTGGTTGTTGTGGTGTGAGGTCACACTGTACTTGTGGTTATGATGAAGGTGTAGGTCATACTGTACCTGTGGATGTGGTGAATGTAGGTCACACTGTACCTGTGGTTGTGGTGAAGGTGTAGGTCATACTGTACCTGTGGTTGTGTGGTGAAGATGTAGGTCACCTGTACCTGTGGTTGTGGTGAAGGTTTAGGTCATACTGTACCTGTGGTTGGTGGTGAAGATGTAGGTCACTGTACCTGTGGTTGTGGTGAAGATGTAGGTCACACTGTATCTGTGGTTGTGGTGAAGGTGTACGTCACACTGTGCTGTGCAGGTGTAGGTCATACTGTACTTGTGGTTGCAGTGGTGTAGGTCACACTGTACCTGTGGTCATGTTGAAGGTGTATGTCACACTGTACCTGTGGTTGTGGTGCAGGTATAGGTCACACTGTACCTGTGGTTATGATGTAGGTGTAGGTACACTGTACCTGTGGGTGTGGTGAAGGTGTAGGTCGCACTGTACCTGTGGTTACGGTGGAGGTGTTGGTTACATTGTGCCTGTGGTTATGGTGTAGGTGTAGGTCACACTGTACATGTAGTTATGGTGAATGTGGAGGTTATACTGTACATGTGTTATGGTGAAGGTGTATGTCACACTATACCTGTGGCTGTGGTGAAGGTGTATGTCACACTGTACCTAACGTTGTGGTGGTGTAGGTCACACTGTACCTGTGGTTATGGTGGAGGTGTAAGTTACGCTGTACCTGTGGTTTTGGTGAAGGTCACACTGTACCTGTGGTTGTGGTGGTGTAGGTCACATTGTACATGTAGTTATGGCGAAGGTGGAGGTTACAATGTACATGTTATGGTGAAGGTGCAGGTCACTCTGTACCTGTGGTTATGGTGAAGGTGTAGGTCACACTGTACCTGTGGATGTGGTGGTGTAGGTCACACTGCACCTGTGGTTATGGTGAAGGTGTAGGTTACAATTTACCTGTTATGGTGACGGTGTAGGTCACACTGTACATGTGATTATGGTGGTGTAGGTCACACTGTATCTGTAGTTATGGTGAAGGTTACACTGTACCTGCGGTTATTGTGGCGTTATACACAATTTTCTGAGATTAATCACAAGATAGAACAACAGGTGGGTAGCCTCTGTGATCGCTGAGGCTAAATGAGTGTCGCCCCCACTGTGCGTGCTGGGGTGCAAGCTTCCACTTAACCTCTGTGCTCTGTCATCACCTTCTCTTCACTCTTCTAAAAATATCCCTATATTTTGAATTATTATTATTATTATTATGCACTCTTCTGGTAGTTTAAGGCATAAGATAATATATAAAATGAGAATGAGATGTAAATAAGATAATTGTTTTACGGAAGAATGTGGCACCAACGCCACCCACTCTGCTATTTTAAGTTTAACGCCTACCAGTCTGCCACCTTATTTTTCTCTTAGGTACACTGTCACAAAAACTTCTCGAACGCTATAAGCACTATGCATTCTGAAAAATTAACGAAGAATCCGAAACCATACCGAGGTGAAAAGCAATCTGCTAATTCTCACATCCATCGTGCCCAGGTGTTCGAAAAGTTTTTGTTGAGCGTGTACAGTACGAATCAAAGATTAATAGAAAGACGGAAAAGTGTCTGCTTTTTCGATACATATACACATAATTTATATAGATACATATACACATAATCTATCTATCTACAGTATATATGCCGATAACTACAAGGAAAAAGAAAAAGTTCCCAAGCGCTATGTGTAATTCACATCTTCAAGGGAGAGTATATATATATATATATATATATATATATATATATATATATATTTATATATATATATGTATGTATGTATATATATATATATATATATATATATATATATGTATATATATATATATGTATATATATATATATATATATATATATATATGTATATATATATATATATATATATATATATTATATATATATATATACATATATATATATATAATATATATATATATATATATATATACATATATATATATATATATATATATATATATATATATATATATATATATATATATAATATATACATATATATATATATTATATATATATATATATATATATATATATGTAGTATGGGTTTGTCAGACCACAGCTACATCTCAGAAACAGGCCAGACTTGACCCCGACATTGGGAGGTCAAGTGTAGTAACCTCACGGCTGACCAAGGGTTATAATCAGCCAGGCTCCTCCCATGTCACACATGTAAGGGGCACCTCTAATTATACAATGGCCTCACCGAAGTCCAGACCTGACCCTACATTAGCGAGGGCAAATGTAAGGAGACCCTTCGCTGCCTCTATCGGCTCAACCTGACAGCTCGCCTCCCAATATATAGGACGTCCTCCCGCAGAGAGAGACAGAGAGAGAGAGTGTAATTCTAGGGGAGGAAGGGCCAGCACTACACCACCAGGCCCGCTCGAGAGGAGTCAGAGACCGAGACTGCCAGCTAAGCAGTCTCCCATAGAGACCACCTGCTAGGGCCTCCTCTAGGTCACGGAGTTTTTGTCAGAGCTTTCCATGGGATGAGTACTTACTTGGGAAGTGTATTCATTTCATGTTCGTGTCCGAGAATCAGAGTGTCTAGTAACGTAGATATGATGTCCTAGTAACGTAAATATAATGTCCTAGTAACTTCAATAGAAGGTGTTATTAATGTGTCCATGTCATGTTCGTAATTAAAGAGTTGTAACGAAGCGGGTTGAGAAGTCGCCCTTAAGACGTATAAGATAAGTGTATTGACAGTGTAAATATCTATCACGACCACCCTACCAAAATCTTCCTCTCTTTTATACTCTTATACTATCAATATTCTACCTATATGTAATCTTCTTCTTGTGAATATTTTGTAACATTACAATGGTGGCAGCGAACTATATGTAATTCACGCACCTCGTCCCTTGTTATTGGTAACAGTGTAGTTAACGTAAACCCATGCCCTCCCTCATTTTAGCCATAACACCTGACCTTGTTGAGTATTGTTCGAAAGTGCGTGATAAGGAGTTCCTATAGTAGCGTGAAAAGTGTCCTAGTGTGTCATCGTTACAGCTCAAGTAAATGTCTCTCGTCGTGGTATGAGCGAATTTTTTCTAGAAATATGTTCAGTGCTTAACGTGATTTCGTCTCCGCGATCTGTGACATTCTCAGTAGCCCAAGTGCAGTTTGATTGTTGGTCAGTGTTGAACGAGAAATTGTTTCAGTTGCCGTGTCTGTACTAACTGTTATAACTTAACATGTCTTTTAACCTACATCCTCCTCCTCTGTCCTATCCCTCACCACCTCCTTACCCTTCCTCCCATCCCTGCCCTGCCCTGCCCTGCCCTGGTCCAGCCGTACCGTGCCCGCCCTGCCGTACCGTGCCCCGCCCTGCCGTTCCGTGCCCGCCCCGCCGTTCCGTGCCCCGAAAGCCCCGGCCTGGCCCGATCAACCACGCCTGCCTCCCCACCTCACCCGCCACGCCTCGCTCCCCGCCCCGGGCCAGCCTGGCCAGCAGCCCCGCCTCACCTGCCCCTTCCTCACCTGCCTCGCCGCCGAAGACCTCACTAATCCCCGTCTTCTGTCCCGTAAGCTATATGTTGATGATGATGGTTAATATAAAGTAATATTGCGATGAATGCAGAGCTTCACTGCGATTTTATGCTGTTATGATTTGTGATACTCTTTGACGCAGAAGTGATAAATAAAATTCAATGTAGTGAGCAGAGCTTCACTCCCGACTGACTCTAAGCACTGTTCACCACTATTCAATACTGGTTCCATTCCTTTCGGTTATGATCACTGTGGTCATGTCCTTATAAGATTATGATCACTGTGATGCGCGAACACTGTGGTCATGATCGCCGTGGTCATGATCATTGTGGTTATGACTGTAGTCACTTAACCACTGTGGTCATGATCACTGTAGTTTATGATCCCTTTGGTCATGATTATTATGATCATGATCGTTGTGGTCATGATCACAGTGGTCATGATCACTGGGGTCATGATCACTGGGGTCATGATCACTGTGGTCATGAACACTGTGGTCATGATCACTGGGATCATGATGACTGTGGTTATGATCACTGTGGTCATGATTTCTGTGGTTATGATCACTGTGGTCATGATTACTGTTTTCATGATTACTGTGGTCATGATCACTGTGGTCATGATCACTGTGGTCATGTTCAGTGTGGTCATGATCATTGTGTTTATAATCACTGTAGTCATGATCGTTGTGGTCATGATCACTATAGTCATGATCACTGTGGGTATGATCACTGTTTCATGATGTAGTGATGGGTTGTCAGACCACAGCTTACATCTCAGAAACAGTCCAGACTTGACCCGACATTAGGGGGTCAAAGTGTAGGGTAACTCTCACTGCTGACCAAGGGTTGCCTCTCATCAATGTGCTATGCCCTCGATCGGCTCAACCTGACGGCTCGCCTCCCAATATATAGGGCGTCCTAGTCCTCCCTCTGCGAGAGAGAGACAGAGAGAGAGAGTGTGTCTTGTAAGGAGGAAGGGCCAGCTACTACACCACCAGGCCCGCTCGAGAGGAGGCAGGAGGACCCGAGCAGTCGCCTCCGGTCAGGACCAGACTTCCCTCCGGCGCCAGCTAAGCAGTCCCATAGAGACAACCCAGGACCACCTGCTAGGCTTCCCTAGGTCACGTGAGTGTTTGTCAGAGCTTTCCATGGGATGAGTTACTTACGTGGGAAGTGTATTCATTTCATGTTCGTGTCCGAGAATCAGAGTGTCTAGTAACGTAATATGATGTCCTAGTAACGTAAATATAATGTCCTAGTAACTTCAATAGAAGGTGTTATTAATATGTCCATGTCATGTTCGTAATTAATAAAGAGTTGTAACGAAGCGGTGTTTGAGAAGTCGCCCTTAAGACGTCATAGATGTGTATTGACGTATAAGATACGATAAGTGTAAATATCTATCACGAGCACGCTACCAAGTCTTCCCTCTTTTATACTCTTATACTATCAATATTCTACCTATATGTAATCTTCTTCTTGTGAGATTTGTCTCATGACAATGATCACTGTGGTCATAATCACCGTGGTCATCATCACTGTGGTTATGATCATGGTTTTCATGATCATTGAGGTCATTATCACTGTAGTCATGATCACTGTAGTCATGATCACTATGGTTATGATCACTGTGGTTGTGATCACTGTTGTCATGATTACTGTTTTCATGATCACTGTGGTTATGATCACTGTGGTCATGATCACTGTCGTTATGATCACTGTAGTCATGATCTGTGTGGTCATGATCCCTTTGGTCATGATTATTATGATCATGATCGTTGTGGTCATGATCACTATGGTCATGATCACTGTGGTTGTGATCACTGTTGTCATGATTACTGTTTTCATGATCACTGTGGTCATGATCACTGTGGTCATGATCACTGTGGTTATGATCACTGTGGTTATGATTACTGTTTTCATGAACACTGTGGTCATGATCACTGTGGTCATGATCACTGTGGTCATGAACACTGTAGTTATGATCTCTGTGGTCATGATCACTGTGGTTATGATCATTGTGGTTATGATGACTGTGGTCATGATCACTATGGTTATGATCACTGTGGTCATGATCACTATGGTTATGATCACTGTGGTCATGAACACTGTAGTTATGATGACTGTAGTCATGATCACTGTGGTCATGATCACTGTGGTCATGGTCACTGGGGTTATGATCACTGTGGTTATGACCACTGTGGTTATGATGACTGTAGTCATTATCACTGTGGTCATGATCACTGTGGTCATGACCACTGTGGTTATGATCACTGTGGTTATGATGAATGTAGTCATGATCACTATGGTTCATGATCACTGTGGTCATGACCACTGTGGTCATTATTATTGTTAACATGATCGTTGTCGTCATGATCACCGTGGTCATGATCACTGTAGTCATGATCACTGTGGTTATGATGACTGTAGTCATGATCACTGTGGTTATGATGACTGTAGTCATGATCACTGTGGTCATGATCACTGTGGTCATGGTCACTGGGGTCATGTTCACTGTGGTTATGATCACTGTAGTCATGATCACTGTGATTATGATCAATGTGGTTATGATCACTGTGGTTATGATGACTGGTGTCATGATCACTGTGGTCATGATCACTGTGGTCATGATCACTGTGGTCATGATCACTGTGGTCATGGTCACTGGGGTTATGATCACTGTGGTTATGATGACTGTGGTTATGATGACTGTAGTCATGATCACTGTGGTCATGATCACTGTGGTCATGATCACTGTGGTCATGATCACTGTAGTCATGATCACTGTGGTCATGATCACTGGGGTCACGATCACTGTGGTTATGATCACTGTGGTCATGATTACTGTTTTCATTTTCACTGTGGTCATGATCACTGTGGTCATGATCACTGGGGTCATGATCACTGGGGTCATGATCACTGTGGTCATGATCACTCTGGTCATGATCACTGTGGTCATGATCACTGTGGTCATGATCACTGTGGTCATGATTACTGTTTTCATGATCACTGTGGTAATGATCACTGTTGTTATGATCTCTGTGGTCATGAACGCTGTGGTCATGATCACTGTGGTCATGATCACTGTGGTCATAATCATTTTGGTCATGATCACTGTGGTTATGATCATGGTTTTCATGATCATTGAGGTCAATATCACTGTAGTCATGATCACTGTAGTCATGTTCACTGTGGTTATGATCCCTGTGGTTGTGATCACTGTTGTCATGATTACTGTTTTCATGATCAATGTGGTTATGATCGCTGTAGTCATGATCTGTGTGGTCATGATCACTGTGGTAATGATCACTGTGGTCATGATCACTGTGGTTGTGATCATTGTTGTCATGATTATTGTTTTTATGATCACTGTGGTCATGATCACTGTTGTTATGATCACTGTGGTTATGATCACTGTGGTTTTGATCACTGTGGTTATCATTACTGTTTTCATGGTCACTATGGTTATGATCACTGTGGTCATGAACACTATGGTCATGATCACTGTGGTCATGATCATTGTGGTTATGATGACTGTAGTTATAATCACTGTGGTCATGATCACCGTGGTCATGGTCACTGGGGTCATGATCACTGTGGTTATGATCACTGTGGTTATGATGACTGTAGTCATGATCACTGTGGTCATGATCACTGTGGTCATGATCACTGTGGTTATGATGACTGTAGTCATGATCACTGTGGTCATGACCACTGTGGTCATTATTATTATTATCATGATCGTTGTCGTCCTGATCACCGTGGTCATGATCACTGTAGTCATGATCACTGTGGTTATGATGACTGTAGTCATGATCACTGTGGTCATGATCACTGTGGTCATGATCACTGTGGATATGATCACTGTAAACATGATCTGTGTGGTCATGATCACTGTGGTCATGATCACTGTGGTCATGATCACTGTGGTTATGATCCCTGTGGTCATGATTATTATGATCATGATCGTTGTGGTCATGATCACTGTGGTTATGGTCACTGGGGTGATGATCACTGTGTTTATGATCACTGTAGTCATGATCTGTGTGGCCATGATCACTGTGGTCATGATCACTGTGGTCATGATCACTGTGGTTATGATCACTGTGGTCATGATCACTGTGGTCATGATCATTGTTTTCATGATCACTGTGGCCATGATCATTATTGTCATGATCACTGTGGTCATAATCACTGTGGTCATGATCATTGTGATCATTATCACTGTGGTCATGATCACTGCGGTTATGATCCCTGTGGTCATGATTATTATGATCATGATCGTTGTGGTCATGATCACTGAGGTTATGATCACTGTGGGCATGATCATTGTGGTCATGATCATTATGGTCATGATCATTGTTGTCATGTTCACTGAGGTTATGATGATTATGGTCATGATCACTGTGGTCATAATCAATGAGGCCATGATCACTCTAGTCATGATCACTGTGGTTTTGTTCACTGTGGACATGATCACAGGTTGTCATGATCACTGAGGTTATGGTCATTATGATCATGATCACTGTGGTCAAGATCGCTGTGGGTCATGATCACTGTGGTCATGATCAGAGTGGACATGATGAATTTGGTCATGATCACTGTGGTCATGATCATTATGGTCATGATCACTGTCGTCATGATCACCTGGTCATGATCACTGTGGTCATGATCACTGTGGTCATGATTACTGTAGTCATGATCACTGTGGTCATGATCACTGTGGTTATGATCTTTTGGTCATGATCAATGTGGTCATGATCACTGTAGTCATGATCACTGTGGTCATGATCACCGTGGTCATGATAACTGTGGTCATGATCACTGAGGTCATGATCACTGTGGTCATGATCACTGAGGTCATGATCACAGTGGCTATGATAATTATGGTGATGATCAATGTAGTTATAATGATTGTTGTCATGATCACTGTGGCCACGATCACTGTGGTCATGATCATTATGGTCATTATCGTTTTGGTCATGATCACTGAGGTCACGATCACTGTGGTCATAATTATTGTTGTCAATATCACTTTGGCCATGATCACTGTGGCCATTATCACTGTCGTCATGATCTTTATCATCATAATCACTGGGCCATTAACACTGTGGTTCATGATCACTGTGATCATGATCTCTGTGGTCGTGATCACAGTGATCATGATCTTTGTTAAAATGATCACTGTGGTCATGATCACTCTGGCCATTATCACTGTGATCATGATCACTGTGGCCTTTATCACTGTGGCCATGATCACAGTGGTCGTGATCACTGTGGTCATGATCTTTGTTAACATGATCACTGTGGTCATGATCACTGTGGTCGTGATCACTGTGGTCATGATCACTGTGGTCATGATCACAGTGGTCGTGCTCTCTGTGGTCATGATCTTTGTTAACATGATCACTGTGGTCATGATCACTGTGGTCGTGATCACTGTGGTCATGATCACAGTGGTCATGATCACTGTGGTCGTGATCACTGTGGTCATTATCTTTGTTAACATGATTACTGTGGTCATGATCACTGTGGTCATGATCACTGTGGTCATGATCACTGTGGTCATGATCACTGTGTTTATGATCACTGTGGTCATGATCACTTGGTCCTTATCATTGGGTGTCATAATGTCTCTGGTCATGATCACTGTGGTCATTATAATTGTGGTCATGATGTCTGTGGTCATGATCATTGTGGCCATGATCACTGTGGTCATGATCACTGCGGTCATGATCAATGTAGTCATGTTCATTGTGGTCATGATCACTGTGGTCATGATCACTGTGGTCATGATCATTGTTGTCATGATCACTGTGGCCATGATCATTATTGTCATGATCACTGTGGTCATAATCACTGTGGTCATGATCATTGTGGTTATGATCCCTGTGGTCATGATTATTATGATCATGATCGTTGTGGTCATGATCACTGAGGTCATGATCACTGTGGGCATGATCATTGTGATCATGATCATTATGGTCATGATCACTGTTGTCATGTTCACTGAGGTTATGGTCATTATGGTCATGATCACTGTGGTCATAATCACTGAGGCCATGATCACTGTAGTCATGATCACTGTGGTGTTGTTCACTGTGGACATGATCACCGTTGTCATGACACACTGAGGTTATGGTCATTATGGTCATGATCACTGTGGTCAAGATCACTGTGGGTCATGATCACTGTGGTCATGATCAGAGTGGTCATGATGAATGTGGTCATGATCACTGTGGTCATGATCATTATGGTCATGATCACTGTCGTCATGATCACCTGGTCATGATCACTGTGGTCATGATCACTGTAGTCATGATTACTGTAGTCATGATCACTGTGGTCATGATCACTGTGGTTATGATCTTTTGGTCATGATCAATGTGGTCATGAACACTCTAGTCATGATCACTGTGGTCATGATCACCGTGGTCATGATAACTGTGGTCATGATCACTGAGGTCATGATCACTGTGGTCATGATCACTGAGGTCATGATCACTGTGGCTATGATCATTATGGTGATGATCAATGTAGTTAAAATCATTGTGGTCATGATCACTGTGGCCATGATCACTGTGGATATGATCACTGTGGCCACGATCACTGTGGTCATGATCATTATGGTCATTATCGTTTTGGTCATGATCACTGAGGTCACGATCACTGTGGTCATAATTATTGTTGTCAATATCACTTTGGCCATGATCACTGTGGCTATTATCACTGTGGCCGTGATCACTGTGGTTATGATAACTGTGGTCATGATCACTGTGGCCATTATCTCTGTCGTCATGATCTTTATCATCATAATCACTGGGCCATTAGGGTGTGTCATAGGAGGGAAGATCAGCTAAAACTAATGGCCCATCACTTTTTTGGTAGATTTTAGTGTATATAAACAGAAAATAATTTCAGTTTCAATATTTTGCAACCTTTTGCTAGGTAAATTTTAGCGTGAAATTTATCGAAAATCTAATGTACAGCTGCATTAGTGCATTACAATTAAATAGTGAACATTGCTTTCTGACTTCATTCTTTAACAACCCAACTAACAATATTTTTTTCTCTTTCAGATTCTGATGCATTTATAAGTTGATAATATTTGCGATGGCTGCTTGTGTCAGGACGAGGAACAAAAAATCCAGCCATCTCAGTCACTATCTTGGGTCTGGGAGAGAGCTCCTGAAGTCGGAGTTGCCTACATTGAGAGATGCTTTGAGATACGGTGTTTTAATCAGGCAAATCAGTGAAAAGAACCAAAAAACTTACACAAACAAAGACATTGCCAGTGATATGACCAAAGCTGTCTTGGCACAGTACACTCTGGCTAACGCTCAGTTCAAGCCTCCAGTCATAACAAGTCAGAAGAAGATTAGAGAGAGACTGCTAGCCAGTTGGGAAAAGGCAAGAGATATCTCTCTTGGGAGAGGAAAACTTGCAGTTAAGGACAGCTTTGCCAAGCAACTGGTCCAGTTATTTGACATAATTACTTGCAAGTGCCCAATTGTTCTCTGTCCTGAGTTTGGATGCGATCGTGACTGTAAATCCGAGGCCCACATCTCCTGTATTTGCAAGCGTGAACTGAAGATTCCTGTGATCGAACTGGCATTTGTCAAAGCACAGAGAGAGAAGACTGGCAGTATAGGGGCTCTCATGATTTCTAGCCAAGATATTCCGGAGTCCAAGAGACAGGAGGCTGCCACAGAGAGACAGAAGAGGAGAAGAGTTGCCGAGGAAAAGAGACTTGAGAAGGCCCAGGGTGAGGTAAAAAAGGCCGATGATTGGAGTCAAGCTGATTCAGAGTTTAATGACTTCCCCATGGCTGATCCGAGTGCTGACCAGGAGAATGGTGACTTTGTCCCTAACCCAGAAAATAATGATCCCAAACCTTCCAGGCATAAGATTCGAAATAGGAAAGATATCCCGAGCATAGCTCTGGCCAGCATGCGACACCACACTGGTCTCAGAGAAACTGCAGAGATAGCAACAGCTGCCTGGATTGACGGTGGTTTGATAACACCTGATGATGTTCACCTGGTGATAGATCATAACAAAGTAAGGAGAGCTCAGGAGAAACTTGTCAGTAACCTAGAAGAGGAGTTTGATTAGGGGATAAGAGAAAATGGAATCAATTGTTTGTTCTTTGATGGGAGAAGGGATGACACTAAAGTGTTCATGAAAGTTGGAGATTCTGACAAGTTGTTCCCTGCCATGGTGAAGGAGGAACACTACTCCTGCTGCAGTGAACCAGGAGGGAAGTATTTGTTGCATTTCACTCCAGAGAAAGATGACATCAGGAAACCAGCTGAGATAGTGGCAGATAACATTGTGAACTGGCTCAGAGAGAGGAACGTAGACCAGACCCTGCAGGCCATTGGAGGGGACAGCACCAACACGAACACAGGGTGGCAAGGGGGGGTCATACAGTGGATGGAGCGGAAGATTGGGAGGAAGCTGGTCTGGATTGTTTGTGACCTCCACACCAACGAGTTGCCACTCAGACATCTGATCCAGGAGCTGGATGGCAAGACTCTTTCAAACAACAGATGGTCTGGTCCTCTTGGCAAGATGCTGGACTCTGCCACTGAGTTAGAAATAAATCCGAGCTTTGAAAAAATCACAGTTGACCCTCCACTCGTTGAGCTTGCACATACTGTCATTGACGACCTGAGTACTGACCAGTACTATGGTTACATGATTTGCAGTGCCATCAAAACTGGGGTCATGCCTGATAGACTTGCTTACCTGCAGATAGGTCCAGTCTCACATTCTAGGTGGCTCACAACGGCTCTCAGGTTCTGCAGAATTTGAGTCGCTCATCATAAACTGAAAGGGACCCAGCTTCACAACCTGAGACTTATTGTCCAATTCATCGTGAGTGTCTACTTGCCAAATTGGTTCAACACCAAGGTCAAGTCATCGTTCTCCGAAGGTCCGAGGCATGTTCTCTTCCAGCTTGAGCTCCTGAGGAGTCAGCCAAGGAAGGTTGTTCAGATTGTGGAGCAGACTGTGAGATCTTCCTGGTATGCTCATCCGGAGCCAGTTCTGCAGACAATGCTCTGCAGTAAGGATGAGGAGGAGAGAAGAGTGGCAGTCAAAAAGATCTTGGATATGAGACTTATGAGAGGATCTGGGCATGACGAATCAGTTGGTAACGATTCCTTCAGGGTCAGGAAGACTCCTGAAGTCAATCTAGGTGCCAAGACCCTCACTGATCTCATAGATCTGGATAACATCCAGGCTGGCAGTGAGCCCCCTCTTACCTGCAGCCTCACCAATGTTCATGTCCCTGCCTGGCCCTCGCACACCCAGAATATAGAGCGTTGTGTACAGCAAGTGAGCGAGACCAGCAGTCACGTGTACAGCCAGGAGAGGAGGGAAGGCTATATCCGAGCTCAGGTGGTCAGCAGGGAGGTGATGAGTAGAAACAGAAGCAAGAAAGACATGTTCTCTATGGTGTGCAGCAACACCGGGGCGTAGTAGTAAAACCGGTTTTTGTATTTGATGATTTTGTTTTCTAAAGGAATATTAAATTTAATAAATGTGTCAAGATCATTCGTTTCACTATTCTGGATCATTTTCATCCTAATAAATTAACCTGATACATTTACTTTACTTTAAATAAGCTATTTAGTGGTGTTGGTAAAAGGGTGGGAATACTGAATTTTCATAAGATTTCAAGTTAAAATTTACCTAGCAAAAAATGAAAACTTTTCAAATCTGAAGATATCACATGATTCTGCACATAGAACTACATCATTAATACCATGGGCCGATTTTTCAAACTCAAAAAAAAAAAAAATTCGCCTCCGTATGACACACCCTACTGGGCCATTAACACTGTGGTTATGATCACTGTGATCATGATCACTGTGGTCGTTATCACAGTGATCATGATCTTTGTTAACGTGATCACTGTGGTCATGATCACTCTGGCCATTATCACTGTGATCATGATCACTGTGGCCTTTATCACTGTGGCCATGATCACAGAGGTCGTGATCACTGTGGTCATGATCACTGTGGTCATGATCACATTGGTCGTGATCACTGTGGTCATGATCTTTGTTAACATGATCACTGTGGTCATGATCACTGTGGTCGTGATCACTGTGGTCATGATCACAGTGGTCATGATCACAGTGGTCGTGATCACTGTGGTCATGATCTTTGTTAACATGATTACTGTGGTCATGATCACTGTGGTCATGATCACTGTGGTCATGATCACTGTGGTTATGATCACTGTGGTCATGATCACTTGGTCCTTATCATTGGGTGTCATAATGTCTCTGGTCATGATCACTG